CGACTTTGTACACCGCCGCCCTCCCGGGAGGTACATGCAAACTTCGTCGGAGGGTGTGTGCGTGTGTGTACATAGGTTCGTGGCGTATTCCAGTTGGGGCCCTGGCCAGTGCGCCATGCGTGCGCTGATAAGGCTTCGGCTTGTGCACCGACAGCGCACCGAGGCAGTCCCAGCTGAGCTCAACAGGCCCCCCGAGGTAGTCCCAGCGGGCCTCGCTCAGCACCGTGCTGGGGCCTCTGGCGGCGCTCCTGGTGCGCCCCGCGCCCCAGGGCCGAGGTCTTCAGACAACCCCAGACTGCTCGGGGTGGCCCGTTGAGCCGGGCTGGGGCTGCCCAGAGGGCCTGTTGAGGCCGGCTGGGACTACTTCGGCGGGCTGTCCGTGCGCAGCCCGAAGCCGTTCCAGAGTGCGCGTTGGAGGATGATCGCCCGCACGAAGCGGGCGGAGGATGGCTGGTTTGTTGACGTGGATCGTTGCGCTTGGCACTCATTTCAAGACGTCGACCGCCGCGCGGCGGTCACTTCGTCGGCTCAGCCTTGCCAGCAGTTTTAAATCTGAAGACGTTCAGCCACTGCCGCCTGCCCCCCCTCGTCGTCAGCCTCATCGTTGCAATCTTCCTACTCCCTCGTCTTAGTGAGCCCTGTTTGATCCTCTGGGGCTTCGTTGGGTTTCTCGTGTGCCCTCTCAAGCTAACATGTGAGCCTTCTTGATCGTTCTGAGCCTACTGGAGTTTCCTGAGCCCCCATCATGGTGCCTTTGAAATGATATTTGGCATATTTGGTTGGCATATTTGGCATGCTTGCATGGTCTAATGGCGGCACAGAACCACTTGGGATCATTGGGCTCGCGGAGCCATCGCAATCCACAAGGCATCAAAGCCCTGGGAGCTCGGATCCAGCTCAACTGACGGGAGCCGAGGATCATGACAAGTTGATTTAGGATAGTTGCACTGGGAGCTGTGAGCGCGGATCCAGCATCACGGGCTAAAAGCGCGTATCCATAGCACGTCATGCAACCTCGTGACCCTGGTAGCGCGGATCCAGGGTAGATCACAACGACTGCTCTGAGCTCAGAAAGAACGCGTTCTGTGGGCGGTCCAACCGGAGGTGGGGGTTTACCCAGGGGGAGGGGACTCCCCCCTTTGAATTGCAAGCGATGGCGTGATTCAAATCGGGCTCCCCCCCCTTCTCAGGGAGGGCAGGGTGGGAACCAGGGGTGCCCCCGCCCTGACTTGCAAGGAGGGGAGAGGGGCCCTCGAGCCGGGAGGGGGAGCCCGCCCCACTTGAAACCGACGGCGGTGAGCGCTGGAGCCAGCGCCAGCGCCGTCGGGCAGCGACGACGACGACGAAGACGATCGATGCTAGAACGGCTGGATCGACCCTTTATAAGGTTCTATAATCTCATTGGAATTGGACCGAGCCCTGATCGGATTCGGTTATGAGTTTGATCTGGGTATCGTAGGTTTTCATCAGAGCTGGATGGAGCCTTCGTAGGTTTCCATGAGAGCCAGATCCAGGTGTAGCAGGATCTTCGTAGCGTTAGATAGAGCCTGGCTTGTATGCTATAGTCGGAATATGTTAGAGTTGGACCGAGCTGGCCCACGATGCTAATAAAGCTGGACCCAGCTATCTCAGGAGTTGATGAAATCTTGACCGTGCACTAATCGTATTCTATTGCGGGGGGGGCCTCCCCCCGGTTCGAACCCTTCCCCCCGGTGTTCAACTTCCCCCCCTCTTGGAGGCCCGCCTCCTGGATAAGAGGGAGAGGGGCCGATGTCCGGGGTGGGTTGGGGGGGGGGCATTTCTCCGGGCGCCCTCACGTGTTCTGGGGAGGGGGCCGACGTGTCCAGATATTTGTCCAAGGCTTATGATGTTCCAACCTACGTTCGCCTTGATCACCAGAATTTCAAGCACTGAGAAAGTACCGAAACTGGATGGTTTTCAAACGTCGGGCCCTAGGAGGCGATGCTGGCTCGACACTGTTTCGATACTTTTCTGGGTGCTCGAAATTATTTCTGGGACGTGTTCCTTAAGTCTCATGAGAGCAACACTATCCACTGCAAGCGTCCACGAAATGTCTTCTCTCAGAGGTCGGAACCAATGTAGTTTATCACGCATCGTGGCTCCAGATCCAATTCCATTTGCAAGGAATCGTGGCCCTGGAAGTGTGGAGGATACAATGTAACTTACAAGGGGACGTGGCCATGGGATCGCGGGCCTAGCCTCATTCATGAGGGATCGCGGTTCTGGATCGTAGTTCTGTGAGCGCGAATCCCGCGTAGTTTACTGGCGCTGGGAGCGTAGACCGAGGTGAAGTTTCAAAGCATCGCCCTCCTCCCTCCTCCCTCCTCCCTCCTCCCTCCTCCTCCTCCCTCCTCCCTCCTCCTGGGATCGCCGATCCAGGCGCATGTTCTACGGATCGTGGGTTTCGGAGCGCGTGATTGTGCGATGCATGGGGAAGGCTTTGCGGCCGACCCTGAGGCGGGACGACGACGACTGCGGCGGCGGCGACGACGACGACGACGCTGTGGAGCCCTTCTTCGGGCTCCCTTGGGGGTCTATTGGTCTCTGCCGGGGGCCTCTCGGGGGACTTTTTCGGAAGCTCCGTGGCCACTTGGATCCGAGGGCTCTTGGAGGCAGGCGGGGAAGTGCGCAGCTCCCCGCAGCAGCACATGAAGAGTGAGGAGGGTGCCTCTGGTGCGGTGGGGGGGGTCCAGGAGGAGTGGCAGGGGGGTCCCCGTGTCCGCAGGGGGGAGGCGGGGAGGGGTCCTGAGTTACCCCATTGTCCACCGGGGGACCGCCCCCGTGTCCCTCATGTCCACGGGGGCCCGCCCAGGGGGGGGGGGGTGCAGGTCATGACCCCCGGGACCCCCCGCGGGACCCCTCCCGCTACCCCCTCCCCCCCCCTTGGGGCCCTCCCGGGACTGGAGGGTTTCTCCGAAGGGCTTAGGCGATCTGTCCTCCTCCTCTTTCTCCTCCTCCTCCTCTTTCTCCTCCTCCTCCTCCTCGTCCTCCTCCTCCTTCTCCTCCTCCTCCTCCTCACCCACGCCGACAAGGTCGGCGGATTTTCTCTGGGGGTTCGTGGGGGGGGTGGGGGGGGCAGAAGCGGCGTCGCACCGCGCGCCCGTTCGTGGCCGCACCGTGGCCGTCAGACCTGCAGAGGGGGGGCAGGATCTTAGTCGTGGTTGCCTGTTTCCCCAACCGGTGCTTGCACTGAAGGGGCCCTGGCGTAAGTTGCGAAAGATTTGGCGACCGTTTCCCGCCGACTCTGGCAGCGGGCTGGGTTCCCGGGTTCCCGGGTTCCCGGGTTCCCGGGTTCCCGGTTATTGGTTCCGGGCCGATGTCGGTGGGTTTTTGCATGGCTTCCCAGGTCCCCGGGTTCCTGGTCGATTCCCTCAGCCCCCTGATTGGGGTTTGTCTCTGGTGTGGATATACTCTCACATCAACACCACGACAGCCCTGAAGCCAATGGAAGACGAGTGTTCACATTCTGGATGTCCCACGAGGGTCCGGCGGTGGATGCGTTGATTTGGATGTTTTGGGTTTGACCTGGTGCGCAGTCGTACGAGTTTCGTTCATGCAGGTGGAGATGGACGACGACGAGGTCGATGAGGGGGACGAGGGGGGAGGGAGGGAGAGACGGAGGGAGGAATTGAGAAAGGCAGGGATGGACGTGTGAAGGGTTGAGGGGCTGGACGGACGCAGGGAGGGAGGCAGGCAAGATGAGGGGAAGGAGGGGGAGAGGAGGCGGATGCGACACTGGGGGAGGGGGGGGCGTCAGTTGGAATGGGCGAAGAGGGAGGAGGCGGAGGAGGCGGTCCGGTTCGGCCGCACTTCTAGGGCGCGGCGCGATGGGCTCACGACTGCCTTGCGAGTGTCACAACCCACGGACATGACAGCTGAGGGGAGGAGGAGGAGGAGAGGAAGGTGCAGGGGGAGAAGGGGACCGAAGGTCCGAGGAGACGTGGCTGGAGGCTTGCGCCGCATCGCCGATGCGGCTCGATGTGGAGCCCGAGTTTCTCCACCGCGACGTCGCCCATACAACTATCGCCGACGCGTCTGTGACACATCGGCGATGCGGCAAGATCCTCCGCCCCCATCTGCTTGGATCACATTTTGGAGGCCTCGGGAAGTGGGAGGGTGAGAGAGGGATTAGCTGGGGAAAGGAGGGGGCGAGGGAGCATACCCATGTATGTTCGTTCAAATGCCGCCGGTCGTTCCTATTCGACATCTTTAGATTGGTTTTTGCCAGCTCTCCAGAAGTAGGCCTTCGAGCCCTCGTTTGAATGAGTGCGGCACGCATCTGTGCGGCATCGATTGCACTCCATTGCCAGCCGCAGCGACACCAGTTTTGTGTACGGTTGTCCTCGGCGCCAAAAGACAAGCAAGACGAGAGCCGTTGTGCCAGACCCTCACCTTCCCCCCTCCATCGACGTTGAGGTTCTTGGTAGCTGCTGGCAGTTGCTGGCCTGTCGTGGTTGTCCAGAGTCTTCGGGGTGGCCTCCTGATAGCTCCGAAGACCTCCAGGGGCCTCCCTCCCTCCCCCCCCGATTCTTGCCTCTACTGCCCTCATCTCCAGAGGAAGAGGAGGCGGCCGAGGAGGAGGAGTGAGAAGCTATTGTCGCCGTCGTCGCCGTGGCCTTCTTCGTCATGGTGCGTGCGTCGCCGCCGCCGCCGCTCCGAGCCGCCTCGAGGGCCCCCGTTCGCCCCTCCTCCTCCTCCTCCACCTCCTCCTCCTCCACCTCCTCCTCCTCCTCCTCCTCCACCTCCACCCTCCTCCTCCTCCTCCTCCACCTCCTCCTCCTCCTCCTCCTCCTCCTCCTCCTCCTCCTCCTCCCTCCCCCTCCTCCCCCTCCCCCTCCTCCTCCTCCCCCTCCTCCTTTCCCTCCCCCCCCCCCTCCTTCCCGCGCGCGGCCGCGCGCTCCTCCCCCCCCCCCCGCGTGAGCGCGCCGCGCGCGGCCTCGAGTGCCGCCCCCTCGCCCCCCTCCGCCCGCGCGGCCGCGAGCCCGCGCCGCGCGCGAGGGGGGGCCTCCCGGGGCGCCGCGCCCGCCTGGCGCGAGAGCGCGGAGGGCGGGCAGCCCATGGCTCCGCGCGGCGCCCTCGGGGAGTAGAGGCGCGGGGACCGGGGCTCAGAGGAGGAGAGGGTGCCCATGCCTCTGCCCTCGCCTCGCGTTCCCCTTTTTCGGGCCTCCTCTGGGGCCCTCGCCGCCACCGTTGGATTCTCCCCGAAATCCTGGTCGGAACGCACCCCAGGAGAGGCCCGGGGATTAGCGGTACTGGTACCTTTTAGTTTCCCCAGTGGCGCCCAGGAGTAGTTTCTCGACCTCCTGGATGGGGTTGGAGCAGATGGGGTCGGAGGATCGCGCCGCATCGGCGATGTATCGACGATACGGCTCGATGCGGAGCCCGATTTTCTCCACGCCGACGTCGCCGATGCGTCGCCGACGTCGGCGATGCATCGACGATGCATCGCCGATGCATTGGCGATGCGGCGCGATCCTTCGACTCCATCTACTCGGTCCCCATACAGGAGGTCTCTAGAGTTGTCGGGGCTCAGGAGACGGTGGTCAATGCAAACGGGGGTCACCCAGAGCGCCAGATCGTGCAGGATCCTTCAGATCCAGAGTTTGCATTGACCCGTGTTTGGGTGCAGGAGCCTGCAGCACCTGCAATGCCTGACTGACCAGGGTCTGGATTGACCCTGGTCAGTGGATCACCGAAGTTGGGAGGAAGGACAGCACGAGGGGATACGCCGGCCACGCGCAGAGGGGGGGGTGAATGAGGATGGCTTCCCAGAGCCACCCCTGCTTCTCAGAAGGCGCGGGACTTGTCTCTGGATGTAAGGCTGGCGCAACCGGAGCAGCAGACTCCTTTTCGAGAAGCCTTCCCCCCTCCCCCTGCCCCCCTTGGGCGCGCCGCCAAATCTGGGTGAAGGAGGAGGAGGGGGTGCAGGAGATAACGAGGAGGGCGGCACAACATGAGGAGGAGAGGATGAGCAGGAGGAGGAGGAGGAGGCGGAGGAGGAGAGGGAGGAGACACATGTTAGCCAGCGCGGACCACAGCCAGTGAGTTATTGCACGGTTGAAGTAAAACCTATCTTGTGTAAGCGTTGCGCGGTACGCCATGTGGTATGGGCTATGGGGTGCAAATTTGATGGTAGATGGTGAAAGCCGTATTGTGTAAGCTATTTGGTTTGATCTGTTCGTTGTAAGCTCTATGCTGTGTAGACCACGCGGTTTCAAGCTACCCTGCGTGTGGGCTGCGTGGCAGAGGTTGTCATGCCCACCCGGGGCACGGGGTTCCCTTCGGGCGGGCGCCAGACGAAGCCTCTGCGCACCCACCTAGGAGACCGGGGGGCCACGAGCCCCCACGAAGCCCCCGCGAAGCGCCCACCGTGCGAACCCGCCCAGCGCGGGGCGCCCACGAGGCGCCCACAGGTGGACACCAGGCGAAGCCTTTGCAACTCCCTGCAGCGCGGTGGTGTGCATCACCGGTATTGGGAGGTGATGCGTTCAGGCATGAGTGGTACCAGTGCCTTGTTGTGCCTGAGGCTGCCAGCGCGCCGCCCCTGCTGCCAGCTGCCTCCGCTGTATTGTACATGTGTGTAGGCTGCCGGAATTGGGATACGACCTGCAAGAGAGCCCTTCTCTAACGCAGGCGGCCATCCCTAGCACAGGGCCTGGCTGGCGACTTGTCCTGGCACACGGCATGACTTGAGCGGAGAAGTACATTGTGCCTCACAGTTTTTCCATGCCCCTCGGCCGAAGGAGGCCTCGGAGAAGTGACTGGTTACGCCTGGCGCAATTCTTCTCCGGTACGTGCTTTTGTCGCACCCCTTTGAGGCACAGATCAGAGAGGGACCGCCTTGCATCCGTAGGAACCTTGGCTACAATCTCACATACCATGTGCCGCACACCGGCTAGTGACAATACCGATGTTCGCTCTGCGTAGCTGATGGACACAGGGATCTGTTGGGGAACCTTGTGTTCAGCGTACCCTAGTTGGCTTAGACCCCCAATCCAGTTCGACGGGGGCACGCCGCCGCGGTGCCGACGCAGATGATGGAGGACGCCCCGAGCCAGGCCATGGTCCACGGAGTGCGTGCACAGCGGGAGCGTCTTGGGTCGAATCCAAGTGCTGCGGCGGAAGCCCTCGGCAACCCGCAGCGCCAGCTCGCGCATGCGGAGCAGCGGCTGGCGCAAACCAGCTGTTGCATTACAGTGAGCGGCAGCATCGCCCTGCGCACGCAGGAGGCCCAGGCGATGGAGTGCGGCAGTTCTCCCCCCTTTGGGCCGGCCGGAGAGGCCCTGCCCCGGCGGGCCCCTGCCGGGCTGCGGCGCCCTTGGCCGGGCCGGCAGCTTGCGTGCCACGGCAGGCCCTGCCGGCCCCGCGGCAGCTCGGGACTCTGCTCGGGCCGAGCTTTGCGACCTTGGCGTCGTTCGCTCGCTCGCGGGGGGCTCGTTCGCTGGCGCTCGGTCCCACCCCACCTCTCGGGCAATCGGGCCCGCGAAGCTTTCACGACCCAGGGCTCTTCGCCTTCCGACAGTCGGGGAACGTAGGACTCGATCATGCCGGAACTCGGGTGTGCCAATGTTTTTTATGAGCGCGTCCTGGATGTTGACGGTCTGGCTTTCGTGGGATGTTTGCAGCGGGAGTTCGCGTCGAATCTCAGATGTAGTCTCGTGATTTTAACGATAGCCCCGTCAGGCCAACCCGATTCCCTTGTACCCGAGTCTTACGTCTCCCCGAGACTCGGCGGCGAGCGAGGGGGGGAAGTGAGAAGGAGAAGGCCTTCTCGGAAGGTTCGGAAGTCCCCCCGCCTTCTGAGAAGTGTTCCAAGCCTTCCCTGAAGACAGAACATGCTCCTCAGAAGGGACAAGGGCTTCTGAGGGTAAAGTAAAGTAAAGTCGTGGTTGCAGTAGCCGTCCACGATGTGTGACTTGCTGCATGGCGAGTACCCTTTTCATCATATGCTTGGTGATGAGGTTAGCTAGAACACGAAGTTGAAGCTCGCCTCAGCGATGGTACTGAAGGTGACCCCGTCGGGAGGCCTTGAAGGCCTCGGGGTTGGGGAGGTGGTCCTGGACGAGCCAGCCTTCTCCGTCGACAAGGTGCTGCAGCGAAGTGTCGACCTCATAGTCGGCGTAGGCCAGCTGGTCCTCGTATGTACCTCTGCGAGTGCTCGGTGTAGAGCTGGGAGGCGGTGTCGCCGCACGCCTCATCTGCACGCTTGTTGAGAAGTCGAACTTCGGCATCGGTGTGTTGTGTGGCTGGGGTCCATTGTGGGTTCTTGTCGTGGCTGGGGACCCAGTGCGCCGAGCAGCCCGCAGGTAGTGTACCAGCAGCATGGCGTAGGTCAGCCCAGTCGGCCCAGGCGAAGTCTGAAAGTGATGGCTCTCCACGCAGTAGGGTTTGGAGGCCTCGTAGCACTGTCTTGTTGTCGATGTAGACGACGAACTGGATGCCCTGGTGAGCCGCGGCCTCGACGAGAATGGCGATGGCAGCACGCTCAGCCATCGTGGACGAAGAGTCCAATGAGGTGACTGGCCCCGAGAAGGTGGAGTCGGGCTCCGCGGCGATGGCGATCGCCCATGCTCCTCGGCTGAGTGTGGACCATCCTGTGCGTTGTGGGCCCTTGACTGACCCATTGGTCGCCACGAGGAGAGGTCCCTCGGTGGTCTGGGAGCACCTGACCAAAGCCTCCCGAACAGCACGAACCTGTAGTTCTCGCTCGGCAGCTGGTTGGCGCAGAGGAAGTGGTGTGGGTACCAGGGACACTGGTAGCAGCTTCTCAAGCTCTGTGGCTGGTTGAGATCTCCCTGCGAAGCAGAGGCAGCCCCAGGCCCAGTGCTCTCGGGTAGCAAGATCGCCACAGCGACAGATGCTTCCCCGCGGGAAGTCGTAGCCGTAGCGCTCGGCGATGCTGTCGATGATGTGGTGGTCGTACGAGCACCCCAAGGCAGCACATTGTTGTGCGTAGGTGCCCAGTCCCATGAACAATTCTGCTCGTCGTGTACGTACTCCTCCACACAGTAATCGGGCCTGTGTGGTGGGGTCTCGCGTTCTGGTTTCAGCACGCCATACCTGGTGGAGGTGAGCTCTCCAGGCGATGTGCAGTAGTGTGCTCTTCCCCACCCTCGTGAGGTCGAGGTCGCCACCTCGTGTGGTGTAGGTCGAGACAAGAGGCGCCAGGTCGCCGGTGGTCGTGGGCTTGGCTCCCGACCTGGTAGTAGTAGTAGGCTTAGCCTTCCAGCCCCATTTCCTCAGGACCTCCTCCCAGCGCGGGTGTAGGTCGTGTGCCTGTGGTTGGCCACGGTGGTGACGCCGAAGTCGCCATACCTCGTGCATCAGCGAGTCGAAGTCGAGTTGGAACTCCACTGAGGACTGTGGTCCAGCCACTGCAATAGCTAGGGCTCTGGAGGAGCGCTCGGGCCTCATCAAAATCACGTCCAGCAAGAGGGTGTCCCACTTACGATACACGTGCTTCGGGGGTCGTTGCCACCGCCCTCCCCACCTGAGCTTGGAAAGCACCAGGCGTTGGGCGAAGCGCTTCCTCCTTTGCCAGCCCTTGATGTATGGTACCGCCAGGCGTAGTCGTGAGAGTTGGTAGAGCGCTCTGTCACTGCTCATCTCGCGAACCATGGTAGGTGGCCCACGTCGTAGTGCGAGCCTCACCCCCGAGATTTCCACGTAGAGCTTCTGTTTGCCAACTCGATCGCAGATCGTGGTAGCTAGGGTCCTGTGTGGGTCTGGTGTGGTCTGGTCGTCGTCTGGTGGCTGGTGCTCTGTCTCGCCGTCGTGGCGGTCGTGGTCTTGGTCTGCCTCGTGGTCGAGGTGGTCGTGGTCGAGCTCGTGGTCTGCCTTGTGGTCGAGGTGGTGTGGACGAGGTCGTGGTGGTGCTGGTGGTCGTGCTGGTTGCCCGACCTTGCCTCTGGCAAAGGTCGCTCCTTTGCCTTCGTTCCACTGCCAGCCTGCCCGGGCATCATAGTGCCAAGAAGCCAGGAGGGCATCGTGGCATGTCTGCCAGGCCAGCGGTCCTCTCACCCATATGGTACGATCGTCGGCATAAGCCCTCACATGCACTTCAGGAGCCGCTGGGCTGACGGACCTGATCCACAAAAACATGTCACACAAGAGGAGGATCACGCTCGCTGGGCAGCCTTGCAGGAGTCCTCTCTGAGGGAGGATGGGACGATGTGCCACAGCGCCCTCAAGTTACAAGAACATCTGCCTCTGGGAGTAAAAGCTCTGCACGGCATGGAGCAGGCCATATGGTGCGCCTTGGTGTCGCAGTAGGTGTAGAGCCCGTGCCACTCTGCAGCGATCGAAGGCCTTGGGGAGGTCGATCTTCGCCCCGTAGATGGAGGGGCCTGCGTCTTTGGCGTCCTCAATATGTGTGGCCAGTGCTTCCACAAGTTCTGCTGGGCCCCTGCCCGGTCCTGGGGCAATTCGTGGATCGAGCCACCAGCGAAGCCAGGCCCTGAGCTGTCGCACAATATTGCTCATCCCCAGCCTCCACGCGATACTCGCTAGCCCAATGTGTCGGAAGCCCCCTGAGCCATCGTGCTTCGGAATCAGCGCAACTGGTACTTGTGCCCATACAGCTGGCACCTTGGCTCCTCCCAGCATCTGGTTCCAGATCCTCGCAAGGAGGGCGTACCAAGCCGTTGGTAGTCGTGCTAGATGTCTGGGCAGCCAACCGTCGGCACCACCAGCTTTCGCTGCAAGTTGCTTGGCCCGCTTTTCGGAGTTGTTCACCTGTCACGTCGACGAGGAGCTGCGTCGGCAGTCCCTGTGCGGAGTTGGCATCAGTCAGCAGGTGGATGAACTCATCGGCCGATTCTGGGGACGCCGGTGGGGCACGCCAGATTCCCTCCCAGACCTCTCGTTCGTGCTCAACTCTTTGTTGTGGGTGGGGTGGACCACGCACTTCCTGCACTGGTACGTCTGGTCGCTGTTGCTTGAGCCATGCCAGGGTCTTGCTGTCGTTGGTGGTCATGTCCTCGCTCCAGCTGCTGAGCCTGGCCAGCTTATCGTTCAGCTCTCTGTTGTGGATGATCTCCTCGAGGATGCCCTTGCCGAGGTCGGTGTGGAGGTCGACTTCGCCTAGCTCTGGGTATCTCTTAGCCAGCAGCCCCTGCCGTCGACGAAGTGAGCGCTCGGTCTCAGGATCGCCTGGTCTGAGTGTGGCTTGTCGGATGACTCTGTGCAGCTTGTGCAGTTGGGCCAGGGTGTTGGTCTGGTCGTTGGTCTGCTTGGTGGATGAGCCGTGGGCGTGTGCCACCTTGGCCGAAGCTGACCTGGGTCGACCCTTGGCCACCTCATGTGTGAGCAGGTTCTCGGCGTGGTCGGAGAGGAGCTGCCACATGGTGTTGGCGTCCTGGCGTGACTCTGCTTTGTCGAACAAGTGCGCGAACTGGCTGTAGACCTTCTCCCAGGTGTCCTCGGTGATGTCCTCGTCGCCGATGAGCGGCGCCCTGCTCTTGTAGGTGTAATGCTCCTCCTGGGAGTAGCAGGCGAGGTCGTAGTACACCAAGTCGTGGTCTGCTACTCCTTCAGCGTGCCCCCGATGTGTGACTGCGATGTCGCGGTGGAAGAGTGCATAGTCGAGGTGTCGGCCCCTGTCGTGAGTGGCCTTGTCGATCTCGGTGGGCGTCTCAGGAAGATGGAGGCGGAAATTGCGAATAACTTCGGCTACGCAGCCCTCAGTGGGCACCATGTTCCAGTCCCCGATGCAGCACAGGCGCCGACGTAGGACCGCGGCGTGCTGAAGTATATGCTGCAACACGGCCTTGGTACCAGCCATGGGGGTGTAGTCATGCAGGTTGGCGAGGACGATGGGCTCTGCTCGTGGAAGATGCATTGCGGCCATGACCACCCTGTCGTTGCCAGCGGGCTCTGGGACTTCCAGTTGCACAATAGGTTGCTGGGAGAAGATGATGGGGTCTATGAGGAACCTGCCGTCGTTGTGGCCTGGTGGGCCTGCTGCTGTGCGCTTGCAGCCACGCCGCCGTGCATACTTGATCATGGCAGGCAGGCTGGTGAGTGAGAGTCGGGCCTCTTCGATACAGAGGATGTCGACGTCATAGATCTTCGCAGGGGTGAACACCTTCCCTGCCTTGACGGAGAGGCCCTGGACGTTGAGAGTGGCAAGTCGGAGCAGCGAGTGCTCAGCAGTAAACTCAGTAGGTGCAGCTTGATCGCCAGTACTGATCAGCTGCTTGGTGAAAGCTTGGGTCGAAACAGTGATTTGTCTGCGTAACTCTGCGCTAGAAGTTGAGGGCAGCCGAGCCTGTGCTGTCGGTGCCTCAGCCACATGTCAAGTGTTGGTGGGGGCCTTAAAAGCGGCTCCCCGCAGTCGCCGTCGTGGGCGCC